CAATCATAGCCATCGCCAGTCTAGCAAAGAAGGCATTAACGACATCACATTCGCTAGAATCACCCGAACCACCACCACCACGGCACCGCTACCACCACAACGACCACCACCACCACCACCACCACCGCCACCACCACCTCCGCCGCCGCCCGACAAGAAGAAGAAGAAGAAGATGATGATGATCTGCATCATTTCTACTTTCGACAACACCAGAGACGCCGATAACCGATACCAATCTTCAGGTTTTGAAAGATGAAGCACAGGACGAGGATGATGCTGATGGCGATGGTGACGCCTAGAATGGGGCTTAGGGTTTGGGGTTTACTTGAGGGAGGACGAGGAATGTGATGTGGCGAAGATTACGACTATATAACGTAGATCCATGATAGCGATGACAACAATGACAATGGTAACGAACATGATGTTGAGGGTTTGGGGTTCAGGTCGTTTCAGAGTTTATGGCTTCGTTGACAGTGATGATGAAGTTACATAAAGGCTTAATCCCCAAATTGCAGATTTTGTCGCACACACAAAACTTATAGGCCCCGGTCTATCCCTAAACCCAACATAGGGGCCGTCATATTTGGAATAGGGCTTGGGGGTATATTCGAAGAGGAACCCTACAGAATAGCATTGCTAATTATCTGGTTCTTAGTTGGGAATGGAGGACTGGGCTTTTGGGACTACTATAGGGGACCTTAAGGGACTATCATAGGGATCCATTCCCCCATTCCCTACCAAGAACCAAGGGAGTTATTCTGCCGCCAAGCGGCATGTGCCAAGTCATGCGGAGGCAAGGGCTCGCCGATGACTGCGCTGCCCCCAGCGCTCATCTCCTTCGGCTCCAAATGGCGGGATTTAGGAATAGGGTTGATGATAGAAATCCTGCATAACCCATAATTAGGAACGTATAATACATACCTCCCATAGTCTAGGGTCCTTACGGTAATGCAGGATTTATATCATCACCAGTAGGGCTTAAGGCATTTTTTGGAGAAGGATTCGGGTTTAGGATTGGGGTTTAGGGTTTCAGGGTTTCGTGGTTTAGGGTTGAGGGTTTGAGGTTTAGGGGTGAAGGGTTTGGGGATGGGTTTATCAGGTTTTGTAGGATCCATGGGGTCATGAAGGGTTTAGAAGAGGGACTCAATATTTCGAAATGGGTTGAAAGCCCTGAGAGGGCACAAGCGCACACACAGGGTTCAAGAATCAAAAAGAAGAGCAGCACGGCCCTCATGAAGATACCATCCCACTCACCACTATGGTCATGGATTTAGGGTTTAGGACTGAGGGTTTAGGGTTTAGGGTATGGTCATATAGGAAGAACAAAAGACATAGAGTCATAGAGCTACGGTTGGCTCAAGCCTCCCAAACCCTAAGCCTAAACCATCAGACAGCACAAGATTTGCTGGAGATGCTCCTGGATAGCCATGTTGGCATGGGCGACGGACTGGTTTGTAGAAAGCTTCTGCCTGAAAGACGGCTAGGTGCTGTGGGTCGCATTTGTCAATTTCTGCGCTTGGGCCGCAGGCATGGATTTGGTCGGCAGCGGCCAGGCCGTAGGCATGCCTTCTATGACTGGCATTGCTGATGCCGTAGGTGCCTAAGCGTGCCCGAGTTTCCATAAGTCACTCGAAGACTGGAACCTTCATTCTCTGAGTGACAAGCTGTGGACTTTCCGGGAGGCGCCGGGGCCGCCGGCGCCGCCCTGGAACGCGGAAACCAGCAAACAGCCAAAACCAAAAGCAAAAAAGCACGCAGAGAACGCGCAGAAAGGCGCGCTGGGCTTCGGACGGCTTGGCCGGCCAACCGGCCCCCGGCACCGGCCCACCGGGACCCGGCACACCTCCAGGCACCGGCCCGGGACCCATCATGCCTCCACCGCCTCCGGGAATCGGCCCAACACCGGGCCCTGGAACGCCGATGTTGGGATTACAAGGGTTGGGCCCGCAAGGATTCGGACCGCAGCCACCAGGACCGGGGCCTTGAGGCCCACAGGCACCGGGACATGGACCGGGCTGTCCGGGGCAGGGGCCCATGTGGGGCATCGGCCCTGGTGCCATCGGCCCTGGTGCCATGCCACTGGGTCCCACGCCGACGCCGGGGCCCGGCTGTCCTGGCATCGGACCCGGGCCAGGTCCCATGCCAGAATGAGGCCTCAGCAACACCACTACGGGCATAGGATCTCTCTTAGAAGAACACCGTCTTTAATGTAATGATAAAACAACAGGATGGCAAGGAAAAATAAGTCATAGGGATCCGGCATAGACTTCGGCTGCATTGGCCAAGCCCCTCCGGGTCCGGGCATTTGCCCGCCAATCTGCGCCTCGAGCTTTGCAACCGCGCTCCAAGCAAGGATTGGAGTCCAGATGAAAGCTGCAAAGACAAGCTCTGATTACACAAACTCGCTTTCTCTGAGCACCTGATATGCTAAGATCCTCGAAATCCCTTCTGCAGCTAAGGTCTCACCAAGCATGGGTATCTCAGGCAGAGATCGCTGAGCTCCTCACCCCTGGAGCCTTGCCTGGCACCTGGCAAAGACAACACAGACCCTTTCGCAGAGGCCTTTGCTGGTGAACTGCTGTGGGCCCGGCCGGCGCAGCCTTCGCACCTCCGAACAAACAAAAGCTCCGTCACAAAGGACTGGCCTGCACTACACTGGGTTAGGCCGTGGCAAGATTACACACAGTCTGTGAATCAAGGGATGCATACACAAACAGTGCATGCTCCCTTGTGAGCGCTTGTGCGTCGGCATTAATGTCTGCTTGTGCGTATGTGCGCATATGCACATACTGTAGGGGCCTTAATAATTAGAATATGGTTTGGGGGGCTCCTTATTGTAGTCACAGTAAAACATACCCCTAAACCCCAATATTGTTGTTGTTATTGTTATTATATTATTCTATTTATTTTTTTATATTCATATATTGATCTATTTATTTACATATATTGTTATTTATTTTTATTTGTTATTTGTTATTGTTTGTTATTATTATTACAATTATTAAGGCCCCTCTATTAAAAACGACTTCTCTCTTTTTCGGGATTATTATCATCATTCTTATCATTATGATTATAGTAGCCCTTATAGGGTCCTTTCAGGACCCTTTAGAGGAATCCCATTAAGGCCCCTCTATTAAAGGACTTCTCTTAAACCTTAAAAACCCTAAAACCCCTAAAAAAACACTAAAAAAACCATTAAAGAAAAACCTAAAAAAACCTAAAAAAACGTAAAAACCCTCTCTCTTTGTTGGGGGCCTGTGGCCGGCATCTTTGGTGCCTGCGGGACCACGGCACCTGGCTTAGGGGTTTTTAAGGGTGTTTAGGGGTTTCAGGGGTTTTGAGGCTTCTTAGGGGTTTTTTGAAGGTTTTTAGGGGTTTTTAAGTGTTTTTAGGGGTTTAGGGGTTTAGGGCTGCTTGGGAAACCCACCCAGCGGGGAGCATTGAAGGAGAGGAAAGGCGCTTTTTAGGGCTTTTTTGGGTGTTTCTTGGTGTTTTTAGGGTTTTTAGGGCTTTTAGGGCTTGTAGGGTTTTTAGGTTTTTAGGGAGGGGAAAGACTAGGCTTCACTATGCTCCCCAACCTGCCATCATAGCACCGCAGCCCTAGGGAAGATAGTTCCAAAAAAGCAGTCGCATAAAAACAAAAAAATCGAAACCCCAGGGTTTAGGGTTTAGGGTTTCTGGTTTTGGGTTTAGGGTTTAGGGAAAATCGTATATAGCCACACGCTGGTGCAGGGCGTGCTCTCAACCACGCACCGGCCCTCAACCTAAAACCAAAGCCCTGAATCATGAAAACGAAAACCGAAAAACGCTGAAACGTGAAAACCCTACAAGTGTATATAACAGCCTGCAAACCAAAAGAAAAGACAGCAGCTAAACTTCTAAACCGCAAATCGAGCCAAAACGTTGAACAGAGAATCTTCAAGCCTTACATCTGAGGCCGAAAATACATCTCCAGTCGATCTTAGCTCCCGGCTCGCACGCACATCCGTGGTCTGGCAAGGAGCCGGAGTGTGCAGGAAGCCCAAACCCTAAACCCTAGCTTTAGCTTCCCCGGAGATCAGAAATTTGGGGGTCTTGTTTTTTCGAAACTGCGATTGGGTTTCAGGTTGTTTTCTGCACCTCTGGAACACTTTCCAGCTTCTGCAGGCGCTTTTCCATGAGATAAGCTGCCTTTTGCAGGTGCATGGCTTTGCGTTGCGGACTGTGCGTCGATCCCTGCTGCTGGCTACACTCGCAAGTCCGGCCTACCAGAACTCCGCAAAGCACGCGTGATGAAGCATGCATGCATACATACATACATACATGCATACATGCATCCATCCATCCATACATGCACAAGATAGCGCTGCCACGCCTGGAAAGGAAACCGTGGTGCGGACCTCAACCTCGGACACAACGCACTCTTTCCAGTTGGCCGGCGGAAGCTTTGAGGTTTAGGGCTGAGGGTTTAGAAGTTAGGGTTGTGGGTTTTAGGGTTTTGCGGGTTTGGGGGGTTGATGTTTGGCCGGTTTCGGTTGGGGGCCTGGGTCGGGAAGTCTCCCCAATCTAGAGTTTTGGGCATGCACACACACACATGCACAACAGCATGATGATTGAACCTAGCTGTAGAGACCGGTGCTGCTATGCACTCCGTAGCCGACCGAAGCTGTTGCACATCACGACCCGGAACCAGGCCCCAAAGAACCAACATCCTCAAACCCTTAGACCCGAAAAGCCCCCCATAAACCTTTCACACCAAATCCCCTAAACCCTTTTAAAATTTTTTGACCTTGAACCTTCCGCCCTTCCCGGATTCCCCAGAGATGGAAGCCTGCACGACTAGTGATAGTATTCACCCCTTGGAGTCTTTATTTTCAGGATGCTACAATGCTACCCCCAACTACCTCACTGCAACACTCTCGCGGCCCCCAAAGAACAAACTCCAACAAAGCCAGACAACCCTACACCCTAAACCCTAGACCCCAGCAACCAAAACGGCACAAAGACACAGAGAAGAAGCCTCACTTCTGGGCCGCCGGCATTTGGCCCATCTGTGCGGGGGCAGAGTTGAAGATCCGATCCCGAAGCGTGGCCGAGGAGTTGTCATCTGGCAAACATGTGGGGGGGGGCTTCTCAAACTCAGGGGCTTCCCTGAACCCTAAACCCTAAAACCCTAAACCCTAAACCCTTAAACCCTAGACCCTTAAACCCTAAAACCCTAAACCCCTCAAGCCCTAAAACCCTAAACCCTAAAGCCAGGGGGTATATAGTTATAGATTGGCTTCTGAAAATCAGGGTTCAGGGTTTATTGCTTATGGGATTTGGGGGTTTTAGGCTTAGGGTATGTAGCATTCTTGGCTAAGGGTATGCCATTATGGGGATCGAGTACGTAGGGTATTCGGGTTTAGGCCTAGGGCACATAGAACGGGTGAGGGTCTTGGGTTTAAAAAGGGGCATCTTAATGCAACGATACCTTTATTTGGGGGCTCCGTACAATGCGGAATTGAGGGTCTATGCCTCTGTAGGCTTTTAGGGCATGTGGGATGGGTTAAGGCTTAGGGCTAAGGCCAGACGGGTTGAGGGTTTAGGGCATATCATATCCATGAACGTATGCTGCAGTGTTCGACAATAAACAAAAACATAGTAATAACACTAACAATAATCATACTGAGAATAATGATGTCAAAAAAAGATAATAGTAGAGATAGACATAATAATACTAATAGTCATACTAGTAATACTGGTAGTAGTTGTAGCAGTAGTAGGTACAGTAGAAGTAGTACTAACAATGATCATGATGATTCTATTAACAGTAGCAATACCGTACGAATAATTACGGAAACACGAATACCAATTACAAGGATCCTCTGCTCTCAGAATCCTGGATGCCCGACTTCATTTACGAGTCATTGACCTGCGCAGCTCCCCAGGCGAAAATCCCAAATCCTGCATGCTAAGCCCTAGATACTCTAAGCCCAAAACTCCAAAAAAAATCCACACGCAACTAGACCAGATACTCTGAGCCCCAAAACTCCAAAGAAAAACCAAAAAAATCCACACCCAACTAGACAGCCACGGTACCGCCAAAAAAAAAAAGCGCTCGGGTGCCTGGAAGAAGGCAGAGGTAGCGCATGGCGGCAGTGAGCCGACCCGAGTTCGCTAGGATCTCCGCGTACCTAGACGGGGTTCTTTCTGAGGAGTTTAACTTAGGTTACCATATTAGGGATCTATACGGTTGATGACAAAAAAATCCTGCATGACCCATAATAAGGATTCTGCCATAATGCCCATAGTTTAGGGTCCTTAAGGTAATGCAGGATTTCTTTCATCAACAGTAGTAAATAACATGGTTTCCTTAGTATGGTAGCCCTGGGGACCAAATGCCCCTTATAAGTAGGGGCCCTATACCCTTATACTATAAATCCCTATGGTTTGTGAACCTTAAACACTTTTGGGGTTCATGTCGTCCTTAAGGAACTTAAACTAAATCCCTTAAGAAGAACCCAGTAGATAGCCGGTCAAGGGTCCTCAAAGTCTCAGGGTTTTGTTGGGTCTTAAGGCTTAGGGTATAAGGGATATACGGGGCTTTGAGTATATGCTTTGGGCTTAGGGTAGATAGGGTAGATAGGGTAGATAGGGTGGATAGGGTAGATGGGGTAGATGGGGTAGATAGGGTTCAGGGTTTTGGGTATACAGGGTTCAGGGTTTCAGAGTTGTGGATTGCGTGTGAACCCTCATCTTGCTGCTAACTGATATATGCATGTATATAAACAAGCATCTCCGTGTGTATATATATACATACACAGACATGTATGCACAGTAATTCATATACTAGCCAGAAGATGCGAAGCTAGTTACAGCACAATAGATACGAGCCCTGAACTAAACCCTGACCCTAAACCCTAAACCCCAAAACCTTAAACCCTAAACCCAAACCCTGCGGCGACAGAGCTCTGCATCAGGGCACTTCGTCAGCTTCTGGGAGAAGAGCGCATCGGACTGGCAGAACGCTGAAGCATCTGAGTCCTAAGCCCTAGGAACCCATCTATCTATCTATCTACGTGCCTACCTACCTACCGACCTATCTATCTATCTTACTATCTCTACATATATATATATAACACACCCTAGACCCTAAACCCTTTCTGTGTATCCTTAACCTAGGCCTTGCAACCTTTCCATATTTTTCGCTACTAGGCCCTGAACCACTCCGAGCATCTAAGTCCAACACCACACCTGCTGCAACTTGGTCCTAAACACTAAACCCCTGAACCCTGATCTCTAAACCCTCAAACGCACCTGCTGGAACTTGGTCACATCTTGGAGCACCGCCATCTTCTCCACCTCGCTTTGATGTACACAACATGGAACAAACAAACAGCGCGATGGTACAGTAATAGTATAGTCAGTATAGTCTAGTCTAATCAAGTGTAGTATAGACTACATAGTCTAGTCTAACAAATAAAGTATGGTATAGTATAGTATAGTATGTCAGTGCTCGGACGATCCATAGCTGCAGGCAGTGCTATTCCAACTCGCACGACACCACTGCTTTCTATTTTTTTGGGCCTTGCATGCCCCGCGAAGTCGTTCAAATCTTGTAATCCAGCAACCAAAATAATGAAAGATCAAGAATCAGCCAGAGTAAGATGTCAGATTGAACCCTTGCCATTTATTTTGTCTACGCTACTATGCACAACACCCCAAATTGAACCTCAAATCCAAAACCAAAGACTGAAACCTTAAACCCTGAACCCTAAACCCTAAACCCTCAACCCTACACCCTTATAACCCTAAGTCCTAAACCCTAAAACCCTAAACCTACACCCTAGACCCCTGGAACCGAGGTGGCCACCAGGTCTTGCAGCGCCAAGTTCTGCGAGCCCTGGCTCTGCAACAGCTGTCAAATTGCATCGTTTAGGGTTTAGGGTTTAGGGGCTCTGCAACATGGGGAACTTTCAAGCTGGTAGGGGGAACTCCTTGGGGAGATAGACCCTCTCAATAAGGTCCCTTTTTCAGAGAGCCATAAGCAGGGTTAAGAAGGGTGCCCCTTTAGGGGGTCTCCCTTCTACCTAGGAAATACTCAACTCCAACTACGGGTCTTCAGGGTTTCGGATCTAGCCCCCGCTTTGAGGTTCGGTGGAGGGCTTAGGCTTTAGGGTTTAGGGTTTAGGGATTAGGGTTTAGGGTTAGGGTTTAGGGTTAGGGTTTAGGGTTTAGGGCCTAGGGCTTAGGGGAATCTGGAAGAAGAGCAAAAAGACTAAGTTTGCTCGGGTCTTTGTACAAACAAAGAGAGGCGGCCTTTGCTCCTTTGCTGGTGTTGGCATGGCTGTTGGCACTGTCCTCTTTGACTCTAAGTGCTGATTGGGTTGTTGATTCCGCGTCTGTCGCCTTAAAACACCGTCAGCCTTCAAAACACTTCAGTACCAGCACCATATCTTGTTCCCGGCCTCTTGTGAGCTTTTTCTGCGGCTCAGCGGTTGCTCTCCCATCCCCACTCCCGCAAGCAGAAGGGCCTGGGAAGCCACGTGCGTGATGGCCCAGATGCTGACGGTCTTGGGGAAGTTCTTCGCGCAGATGTAGCAGATCTGGCAGCAACGATTCACGTCCGAGGATGATGGTACACCGTGACATGTATGATGATAACAGCGATAACCAAGACTGAACGGGTTGAAAAGTGAAATCGTTAAAAATAGCACAAATATCAGACAAAATCGATGGCACCGTAACCGGGCAAATGAACACAGCGCAAGCAACATATGACATTCATAAGAAAAACGTGCGGAAAGTGTTAAATGCAGCAGGAGTCACAGGTCGGAGCATCGGGAGCGTCATAGTCACGCAAGATAGCAATGAAGAAGCGCCAAAGCTCAAGTTGCTGGCGGAACTTAAAAACATCGTGCATAGAAGCAGTAGGCAAGGATCGTAGTTGCAGCAGACTGCAACAACTCAAATGTGAACTGATTGCAATCATCGCCACCATTCTATCATCATCTGGATCATTTCATCATCATCACCATCTTCTTTTCCGTCTTCTTCCTGACTGTCACCTTCGCCATCAACATCATCGCATCATGAAGCGCATCTATACAAGCAGTGAAAGAACTTTGCTCTGCCCAGCGCACCAGCGCAGAGCGGATATCAAACTTCTCCTTCTCCAGGCGCTCAGCAAGCTGTTCGCATAGGGCCTGGATGCAGTGCAGTCATCGCACGCTTCGGGAATGTTTGCGGTCGCAGGGCGCTTGCGCGCTAGGCTGAAAGGTTTGGGGTATCCTGTTGCCTGAGGGCCGGGGAGTGTTTTCAGGGTCTCTAAGGACAAGCCTTCCTAAACGCCTGTGCAACCCTATCAGTATCCAACAACAGCCGTCTAACAGCACTCTCTACAATCCTCCAAAGGGCTCATGCAAACCCGGCAGATACCCCGTGTAATCTCATTCCACTTCGATGTTCTGGGCTTAAGTCTACTATCCCCTAGTACTCCCTGAATAACCTACTTGTCCATGGAACTCAAGGTTAACCTTTGGGAACTACCAGGATCGCTGCACTCTACGTTCTCCTATACTGTCGCTCTCCCACTCAGAGTATGGGGCCTCGGGAGGTCAGTCAGGAATATGGGTAGTTCTCTAAATTAGGGTCCCTTTCTTAGGTCCCGAATATAGTACGGCATCCGTATAAAAAGGACCCTAAACGGGGACCCTACCTTAGACAACTACCCATATGCCTAAAATGATAGTGGGCTTCCTTTATGCGATTTGGAGTGCTTGCTTCATAGGGAACCCTAAACCCCAACTCCCTAAACCCTAAACCCCCAACCCCAACACCCTCAACCCCAAACCCTAAACCCTAAAACCCCCAAACCCTCAACCCTAAACCCCAAACCCCAACTCCCTAAAACCCCCAAACCCCAAACCCTAAACCCTAAACCCTAAACCCCAAACCCCAACCCCCTCAACCCTGAACCCTGAACCCTAAACCCTAAACCGACACCCAGAGAGCCGGAGCACCTGGTACTCGCGGGCGGAGTAGGTGGCCAGGATGGCTAAGGTCTCCATCCTGGGCTGCTTTTTTAGCTTTTAAGGAGGGTTTAGGGTTTAGGGTTTAGGGTTTAAGGAGCCTAACTTAAGTTCCTATGATAAGGAAAGCCCTACTATTCGCTATATCCCCAATATGAAGGAGCTTAACTTATGTTACTATGAGAAGGAAACCCGTATTATTATTCACTGTCTATCCCCATTATGGCTATGATAAGGAAACCCCCTATCATTCACTATCTATACCCATTATGGCTATGATAAGGAAACCCCTATTTTTCACCATCTATCCCCATTATGGCTATGATAAGGAAACCCCCAATTATTCACTGGATATCACCATTTTATGGTGACTTAAATCAGATTCCTTCCTTTGCAACCCAGCATCCAGTGGGCCAAGTTGGAGTTGGCGACCTCAGGGCTTTTGTCTTGGCCCACTTGGGGGTGGGGGGGGGGGGTTTAGGGGTTTAGNNGGGTTTAGGGTTTAAGGGATTAGGATTTGAGGATAGAATTTTTAAGGGATTAGGGTTTAGGGTTTAAGGGCTTAGGGTTTGGGGATTAGGGTTGAGGGTCCAGGGCTTTTTGGGTGGTTCGGGGTTTCAGGGCTAGCGAGCTGGTTCTCTTGTGCGCAGCATAGTGGGTCCCCGGCCATCTTGCTAAAGTCGTTGGTCATGATGTTCCCGACCGTCGTCAGGAAGGTGTCACCCTGCGGGATTTCAATCATGGAACTATATAAGCCCGCCCAAAGTTTGTCCTGAGGAAAAATGCCGCCCTGACGGCGCTAACCGGAAATATCACTGAGACCGCGCTCGGAAGACAAGGGCGAAAACGGCTCTTGCAACGGTTGCCCGCTTCGAAGTCCCTAAACCCCTAAAACCCAAAACCCTTGAGCCCTAAACCCTGAACCCCTCAACCCTAAACCCCAAACCCCTAAACCCCAGAACCCTAAACCCCTATACCCTAAACCCTCAACGGCTCCTGGAGGCGAAGGTACTCGTCCCGCGCGCGCGTCCAGAGGGTGATGCCGCCGCCAGAGGCCAAAAGCAAGGCCTCTCTGAGGATTACATCCGGGTTCTGGGTTTCCGGGTTTCGGGGTTCAGAGGTTTTAGGGGCTTTAGGGGTTCAGTGGTTAGGGGTTTTGGGGTTTTGGGGTTTCGGGTTTAGGGGTTTAGGGGTTTAGGGGTATTAGGGGTTTCGGGGTTTCGGGGCTTTTAGGGGTCTAGGGGTTCAGGGTTTTAGGGTCTAGGGGTTTCGGTTTTGGGGGTTCAGAGTTCAGGGTCCAGGGCTGAAGGTTTACAGGTCTAGGGTTTAAGGTTTAGGGCTTCGGGTTTGGATTTGGGGTTTACGGATTTTTGGGCTTTGGAACAGACGAAAAGGAATAGAGTAAGCAGGGTCTTGAAGGTTTCCATGCAACAGATGTTGCAGGGTTGCTTAGACCCCCTATGTTCTCTACATTAGGGTCCCTTTTTAGGGTCCCCAAAATAGTACGTCACCCTTTTTCAAAAGGACCCTAAAAGGGACCGTAATTTAGAGAACCGACCCTGAAAGCACCCTTATAGGACACCCCTTATAGATCCCAAAAAGGAATCCCGACAAAGGGACCCTAATTTGTAGAGAGAGCCGACCACCCTTCTTACTTAAAGAAAGGAGCTAAGCAGAAAGAGGCCACGTCTCCTCGGCCATCAACCCCAAACCCCGAAACCTTAAACCCCTAAACCCCTAAACCCCTAAACCCTAAAAGCCCAAAAAACCCAGAAAATGTCTCCTCGGCCATCTTCCCACTCTTGAAGCAGAGCTCCACCGCGGCCGTCAGGTTTCCCACCTCGCTCCGGAGGCTCCAAACGGAAAATCTTACGGTTGAGGATGAATAAGACATGTACCAGGGTTTAGGGTTTTTAGGGTTCCCTTACCCTCAAAGGACACATTTTTTAAGGTTTTTGGGCCCAAAGACCCTATTGTATACGGCCTTTGGACTATTTTGATGCTAAGGGTAAGGGATGTACCAGGGTTTAGGGTTGGTTTAGGGTTTAGGGGCCCTAAAGGAATGCTAGGATCTAGGCTTCGGGAGTTGGGGGTTGAGGGTGTAGGGTTTTTTGCAGATCCGAAAGGAAGCTTTTCTGAAACCTCATATGCAGACTCCTTGAAGGAACGCCGTAGATCGCGTCTGAAGCCCTGAAAGTATTCCTGGAAGGAGCTCCCTCACGAGGGACCTCTTTAAATCCCTAGGATTCGACGAATCACAACAGGAACCCCTACTGGGTTCTTGTTGAGGGATTGTATTAAAGTTACTATACTAGGGGATCTTTTGTAAATAATGGGGTTTCCTTAGTATGGTAACTTAAACCATACCCTAAAACCAAAGCCCCTAAACCCTAAACCCCTAAACCCTAAAACCTAAACCCTACAACCTAAACCATAACAAGACCCCAGCCTACAGGGAGGGCTTGTAAGGGGAGTCTCATAGCACCCCGCAGCTCTCTGCTTTTGGTGAAACGGGCTACGTACTTCGGAAGTCTTGGCTTTGGGGGCTTTAGGGCTTTTAGGGTGCAGGGTTTAGGGTTTAGGGTTTAGGGTTTAGGGAGGGTGTAGGGGGGTTACGGTAATACATGGAATCTCAGATGTCGAAACAGCTTCAGTGGTCGTATGCCCCTGTAGTCCTTCCCGTACCATCATATGGGTGGTGCTCTAAACTAGAGCCCCTTCTGGGGGGGGTTCCTACTTATACGGGTGCCGCACAAAATTGGGGACCCCAAAAGGGACCC